AGGGCACAAGGCAGGGAACAACCCAGGATGGAGTGCCAACCGATCACAGGGCACAAAGCAGGGAACAACCCAGGATGGGGCGCCAACCCATCATACATATTCATAAAAAGGGAAGTATATGTGAAAAAGGGGGAACTATGAAGTAACTTGTATCACAAAAAACACATCTACGTAAAGCGACTTGGGGTGACTCTGTTGTGAAAGGCGCTATATAAAAATAAAATGAATATTGAATTGACTTTAATTGAATCACCACAACAGGTCAAGGAAACACCTTAAAGCAAGTGTATTTAGTGCTATGGGTAGGAATATGGCTTTGTGGAGAACATGTGCATCTGTGCTGAAATTAATTGGGCCCAGAAGTATACAGTATGGAGAGGTAAGAGAACGGCAAATTTTGACCTCTGATGACAACTTACATCAAAAACAGCTTTACCCACAGCTCCCAAAAACGACTACAACTTAAACAGAACTCGATCTATATAGAGCTTTTCAGCATATTGCCATGGACACTGCAGATGAGCCCTGTGACATATAAAAATAGATATGCTTGACCAGAGGAAACTGCAGTAAATCTACTGTACCATGTGAACTTGCTGAAGGAATGGAGACTAAAAGTGAATGCATTCATACAGAAACGTTTCGTCTGATCGGTGAAAGAAAAATAAAAGGCGCATAACATTGCATCCCAATGGGGTTGGGGGGGGGACTCCATTTAAAATTTCCTGTTGTTTGGTTGTTAGACAGAAAAGAAGAAGGTTTTCAAATCGGACAGTAGTGTTTTATGGCTTATAATTGCAGAATCAGTATTCACGTTTATATTCCATGTTTATAACTAGGGCAAAGTGTTGTCCAGATGCTCGTCCTTTATTGCCACAGCCATACCCCTGTACACTGTTATTTTTGTAGGCATTACATTATATTTTAGAACTTGCACTCGCTGGATTTCATGAAATAAAGATATGGTGGTTTCACTCAATCTATTTCCCCGGAGTCCTCCCTTGACCAGATCTGTCACAGTTGACCTTGCCTGTTCCTCTCAAAATTGTCTGCACTTGGGTCATATATATCCCTCTATGTCATATTTGCTTTAATATTAAAGATTTACTGCTTCTAAACTATCCTTGTAAGGCAAACCTTTAAGACCAATAATAATTCTACTTCAAAAATTGCTCTAAGACAGCAATAACTTTTTTTTTATGTGGGGTGACTGAAATGGTACACTTCATCAGCTACCAATCTAATATCATACTCCTGCATTCTACAGCCTCAGCGTGACTTCCTCGGTCTTTATATCAAAACACTGGAAACAAAAGCATTTTTTCCCCCAGCAAAATCTGCTCCCGATAGTAGAGAAGAAGAGCAAAGAACGTAGGTTCTGTGGCAACTATTTAAACTAAATTTAAGCCCAATGTTTGGGGAAAAAAAAACAGATGGAACATTCCTGCTTCCTGAAAAGAATGGATCTTCCTTTTTGTGCTGCTCTCTTTTTTTGTGAAAATTCGCCTGTTCCACATTCTCTGTTACTCTAGCTAATGTTTTCCATCTTCATCTCCATCCGATTACCCAGTACAGGGCTGCGTGTGAGCCTGGAACATATCCCAGAGGGGAGGGGGCATGAAGTGGAGGAGACCCTGAGCAGCATCGCAAGCTACACACTCACACAAACAGTCACACATTATGGATAATCACAAATTATAGCGACAGATACACCTAACCTCATGCTTTCGAAAAACAGGAGGAAACTGGTGGACCCAAAGGAATGTTTTTCCATTTGCAAATTGTAAGTATCCACATTATATAAGTAAATTACAAATATTTAGGATCTTAAGACAGAACCACAATTGATTACATGTTTCCAAGTGGGACTGTTGTTAGATCCTGTTTGACAGCCAATTTAGTATCCCAGAAGTACCTTCTAGTTCCTCTGAGTGTTACAGAATGCGATTTAATCTGGATGTTGCCGGGTGACTTTTGGAACCAGAAATATATGTTAAGTACCTCTACAGTCTGGAAAGACAAAAAAAAAAAAGAAGAACGATTATTTGCGCAGGTTCAGTCTAAATCCTTGTTGACGATATTGCTTCTAGAAGCCATCATATAACATTCACTGCTAGATATTTATGCTGGATAGAATAAAATCACTCCCTTTTCCTGGTCTTATTATACATACAGCCACACTTGCCTTTCCCCAGCCTGTAGCACACATATGATTAATCCCTCAGAGGTTTATCTCCCAAGTTCACCCATACAGCCTTGGCAAAGCTTAGCTCTTTATGCATCATTCCATTTTTATATGGACTTGAATCCCACACCCTATCTATTCAGTCTTTACAAAAATATTCATTTATGCCCTTATATAGTATATGGCAAATTGTTTAGTACCGCTGCGCTAAGCAGATGGAATATAAATTTCACTGGAAAACACTTGAACCAATACTAAAATCACTTAAATTCGTATTATCTCTCTCTGAAGTCAGCTAGCTATTATAGTTATGTAAATAACGGTAAAAATGTTTTGATGCTAGCTAGCTAGATTCCAATTAAAACAGTTTGAACTAGGTAATAAAATGAATCGTTAAACATAAATCTTTGAAATTCATTTGGCTTCCCTTTGTCATTTCTTTGCTCTCATCATAAGGCTCTTCCAGGTCATTGTTATTGGCTTACTGCAGTGTTTGAATTAATATATGCACTGCTGTTCTTCGGTGTGCTGCCAGATTTCTTGGATTTGTGTAGCCAAACTGGGTTCCTGCCAGATTTGCTGTTGGTGATGTTTATGGACACACGCTATTTTAAGGTTACATTGAAATTTAATATAAATGCATGTATGCATTGCACTTTCTATTCAAACTCTGAACCTCTTTAAAACTTAAACCAAAACAAACAACCAAACAAAAAACTGGAGTTGAAGGTAATACAGCCATTTAAAGAACACGTGTGGCATTCAGTACCAGTCTTTGACTGGTATTTGTTGCCGGTGTTGGTGCCAGCATTGGGAGGCCGGGGACTAGCTAGGTCAAGCCATGAGATGGCTGAAGGCCCTTGGCACAGACCATCCATCCATCCATCCATCCATCCATCTCCCCACTGTTTATCCAAGACAGGCTGCAGGGCTGCAGAGTTGGAGCCAATCCCATGAAGCACATAACATAAGGCAGGGGACGCCCAGAGCACACACATGCACACACTCACACACACAGCAAGAGGTGTCCTGCAGCAGTACTGCCCAGTGAGCCACTATGCCTTGACAAAGACCAACTATCTAAAACTTCTAAAAACTGTGTGTAATACATGGATATACATTTTTGCATAAATCATTCTGAATTCCCAACAATTGACACAGAATTATTACTGAATAACAGGACCATATACTGTAAAAATAAATATGTATCACTGGTGTAAATGTGTCTTTTAATAGTACCTCGCTTTGAGCTTCCAATTTTAGTTTCTCCTTGATGACTGGTCCAGATTCTTCGATGAAAGCATTGCTCATGTTCAGTTGCCGGTTCAGCATCTCTGTCTGGGCCAGTCTCTGTCTGACTTCTTCCAGTCTCTCCTTTTTTCAGTTTGACGTGCATTCTTATCTCACTTATATCTGAAGTACAAGTTTCATCTTCTGAGGCAGGGAAACAGAAGAATAATAATATGCCCATCAGCGGACGAGAGCCGTTCATCTGCCAAATGCTGATCTAATACAGCGCGTCGTAGTGAACAAAAAAACGTTTCATCACAAGGCAAAGATGGAAAACAACTACTCGGACAGTAGAATGTTTTTTATTCTTAAAATCAATACTTTTTTTTCCAAAACATGATCTGCTCCAACAACTTGTGCATTCACCCCTGTTATTGCTAATTACAGATACTGCACTTGCTTAAACGGTTCTCACTCAAGCAATTATCTGACATATGAAATTAGTCCATTATATTTTGACAAGTGGTGAACGGACTTTTATAAGTCTGGCCCGAACAACTCCGCTGTGTTCATCAGTAAACTGATCTATGAATAAAAGGCTTTATGTTGGCTGTAGAAATGGTTGGATATGGATGGCAAGGTTGTAAGAGAAATATGATACTTCATATAAAGATACACACAGTCCCCTAGATATAAATGACATACATCCTCTAAGTCTATATTTACATCAGATTTGTAGGCAAGTCGAAANTGGCTGTAGAAATGGTTGGATATGGATGGCAAGGTTTTTATATAAATCTGATACTTCATATAAAGATACACACAGTCCCCTAGATATAAATGACATACATCCTCTAAGTCTATATTTACATCAGATTTGTAGGCAAGTCGAAACAGATACGTACAGTTCTCATTTAGTGCCAGTTAGTCAAATGTCTGTCGTAGTACAATGCAGACGCTTCTCGTGTTACGATGCGTTTGACATATGTTATTTCAGCTTTATGATGGTGCGATAGCGATAGCACAGTCAGTAGCCAACAAACTTTGAATTCTGATCTGTTCCCAGTCTCCCGATACATGACACAATGCTTTATAGTCTGGCTGCATCCACCCAGCCCCGCTTCCAGTCTCTGTATGGATTGTGAGCATAAACATCTCATACAGTGTTTAACAATGGCGTTTTTTTTCTGTATTTAAAATTTTTCCCCAAGCCCATTATATCTACTAAACGCCCAAATGTGTCCTATGAATTCATATTTAACTTACGATATCTTCAATTTACGATGGATTCATCGGCACATAACCCCATTGTAAATGGAGAAGCATCTGTATATATTTTACACAGCATATAAAACACGAAACACTACCAAATACAATAAAACATCTTAAAAACAATAATACAGTGAATAATAATAATAATAACAACAATAATATTATTATTCATATTGTTATACAGTAATAATAAAAATGACTACACACAGCACTGTATTGTACCTCAAGCCAATGAACAACTGAAGCCACACAATGTTATCATGAGTGTGAGATGTAGTTGCTGCGTTCATTATTACTAACCATTGTAACTCACATAGGCTTCATGGCAGTCCGTTCATAAGTACGAGTTGTCCATAAGTTGGATATTCTTAACCTGGAGACTGACTGTACTTAAAATATACTAAGCAATGGTACTGTGTACAATGAGTCAATGAGGGCAAGCTCTGAGTTCTCCTCTAATTACAATGTGATAACGAAGGAGATGTTCATTCTTACAAATAAGTTATTTCAGTCCAGATTTTTAACACATTCAGGATTAGTGGGCTGTTTTGGACTAGCAGTCATATCTATCACATTTCTGTGAAAGATATTCACAAGAGAGCCAGGTTTGTCCTCCATCTTCACCCGAGTTGAAGCCCAGTGTCTGTTTCCCAAAGACAATGGTTTGGACATTAATCACAGAAATATATCTTTTCACAATCATCTTCTTTCCCAAAGCTACTAGAAAATGAAGCCAAACGTTTCAGAAGATTATTGGGTGTTTGTGCCACCTTGTTAATACGATGCTCGCAGTTGGTTATTAACTATCACCTTCCAGTCTGTGTTTTTTATATTTAGAAATAAAGATCAGTTTTTATTGGAATAGTTATATGTTACTTTACCATACCTTATTAACTGTCAAGGGTATTCTGGGGTCAATATTCTCCATGACGTAACACTCCGCGTGTGATGCTTTGCTCAGGTATTTAACAAATTATTTACATTAAAAAATCAGCAGAGTTGGACCTCTTTCTGAACACGCACTCATGCAAGGAGCCTGGAAGACATCCAATTCATATAGCATCAGTCCCTGTCACCAGCCGAGCCATATGGACAGACATAACGTAATCGATGTGTTTCATGTAACGAGATATACAACGTGTGACCTTTAGTTTACGTCCATTCCCCCATTTTCCATAATCCTGGATATTACCACAGGACACTCATGCACATGCACTCACACAGTTCAGACACCAATTCATATTTTTTGGACTCCAGCAGGGGATACAAAGCGACTGAACAGCTCTGCATATACGAGGTGTGTGCAGGGATCGAGGCCACAACCCCTGCAGCAAGAAACCATACTGAGCCACTGTGACTGTAGAACCTGTGTATAAAAATGTACAATTTATAACAAGCATTTGGTAATAATTTAGTTATTTTGGAGAGGGAATCTTACAAGGGTAAACTGCATTCAGTGCTTGAAATTAAATGTTGTAATATTGCTCTTATTGTGAGATCAAAGAAGTTCAGGTTATTAAGCTTGCCTAACAAATCAGTGAAATATGTTATCTTGGTCATTATAGGGATATTAAAGTCTATCGCTACTTATTTATCATGAAATGTCTCAAATAAACCTAGAATCAAAATAAAAAACAGACTTTTGGGATGCTCTGCACAATTTCATATCAGTGAGACTGACTGCCCACTGCAACCTTAGTATTAAATTAAAATGTCTATACTGTGGCTCAAGAAATTGCTTTTGCCATTGCGGAGCAACACTGTATCATCACCAACCTCCTATGAAAACATCGCACTGTATCATCACCAACCTCCTACGAAAACATCGCATGTTCAGAAACGAAAATGTAATATATGTGATTTTATCGTCAACTGTAGTTTTCGGTGTTGTTTCAATACTCTCTAGCACCATATTAAGCCCTGCTGATCACAAGAGAGATATTTCCGTATGGCTAATGGCATTGTCAATCACTACAGGAAGCAGCTCCCTTCTACAGGACAAAGTAATTGCATGGACATATAGGGCTCCACTCTGATCTTCCTTAACTGCCCTATCCTGAATTCATATGCTTCAAATAACACACATTCAAAAGGGAAGGTATATTGTTTAACTAAATTACTATGATCTCACTGAGCTTACGTGCACACAATGACTGGTTTATTTTTAAATAATTTTAGCAGATCTACAATAAGAGACAAGGATCAATGCAGAGATCGGGTTCTTTTGAGTGCAACAAGAAAAAAGAAAACATAATCTTTGAAAGTGCAAATCAATAAACTGTTCACTGAGAGCACTCTTTGTTCCAAGATAACCGAGGAAAAGGGCTGCTTTGATTGTCTTCTCCATTCTTTGCTGGAAGCTCCTTCCAGAGGATTTACTCGCAGGCTTTGTTATTGATTAGCACAATGCACACTCCCCCCGCCCCAACAGAACTGCACTTTAATAAAGTATGAATAGCATTTTGCTCTTTTTTGCATCGTTCAAAGGAAAAAAGGGCCCTGTTTGAAATATACATTAGTGTTGACCTGAAACATATGGCTATTGACTTGAAATTTTAAACAACATGAAAAAGCAAGCTTTCAGCTCAAGGGGAGCTACCTGTGCTCTATTTATGAAATGCTTTGTGACAAATAAAATATCCACTAAAAAGTCCATTAATAGGTCAGCCATTCATTTCAACATTTAGAAGTTAATATGAAACAGTTCTCTTTTCCTGTTAATCTGTAAATTGGTATGCACCAATGTACCACTGGGGTTTTCCCTACATCAGATATTCAGAAATTGTGCATGCGCGACAAACAAACAAACAAAAAAACAAACAAACAAACAAACAAACAAACAAGCAAGCAAACAAAGGCTAACAGGTACTTCTCAGCGAGATCTGCTGCAGTACAGAATAATTTGCACATGTTGTCAATTTACATGACCTGTGACAGAGAGGAGAACCTTGGGAGTTTATCTGGGTGTTTCAGAGGCAGTACAGCATGATAAAATCTAACTTTATCCAACTATGAACCGGCTATTTCCATAATCTGGTGTTGACATATATTTTTCTGCTTACGGTTCTTAGTCTACAGATCCATCCATCCATTTTCTTTCAATACCCGCTTATGCAGGGTCACGGGGGTCTAGATCCTATCCCAGAAGCTACGGACACAATGCAGAGAATAACCTATAAGATGGGGCACCAACCCATTACAGGGCACACACACGCACGCACACACACACACACACACATACATTCACATCTATGGACAATTTGATAACTCCAATTAACCTTGCCACATTTTTGGAATGTGTGGGGAGACTGGAGAGCCCAGAGGAGACCCCACGGGGGGAACATGCAAATTCCATAGCATAATTCAGAATCACCACCCATCCATCTTCTACACACTGTTTAGAATCAGGGTCACGGAGGAAGTCCACACCACACAGGGGAACACAGAACAGAGGAGGGATTTGAACCTACAGCCCCACAGGTATCAGGCAAAAGAGCTACCCATGGAGTCCAACAGATGCACCAGTTCATCTGAACCTGAAGGTTTTGGACTATGGAAGTCATTGCGTCACCTTACTTCTGTACTAAAAAACTGGAATTAATAGTATAATTCACACTATTTTTGCTCCCATGCCCCCCTTACAGGCCATCTGGTTTTAAACTCAGAGATGACTATTAAGAAAATGGAAGCAAATACATCAACTTGATCCAGTCCACTGATCTATCCATCTGCATCAAATCAAACTTTTCAGTTCCAGTGCTCCAACCACCAAATCATGCAACAAAATTTGCTAATTGTCAATTGCAATCCAATCATTACCTGCCACAATCACAAAAAGCTCATGTTGTAATCATCAGTGATTTGTAAAATGATACATATTTAGGAATACTTTGTTACCATCTTTCGTGGTGAGGAAATTTCAATTTAGCCCATATTTTCTGATTTGGTTCAACTGTGAAACATATAACTTGCTTGTGAACATTTATATTAAGTGATACTTGATCAATAAATTCAAATTCAGTTGCAGTCTCCCTGCTCTAGACTATAAATTCTTCAGTTCCCTTTTGATTAGCCAGGAAACGCTACACTCCATAGCGGCTCATTCACCATTTAGAAGAGGTCTAAAAGTAAGCAAGATGGATTTATATGGCCCGCAACATGTTTTGCATGTTTTCAGATCATTAAAAAATCTGGCCCATAGATCATTCTTTTGGCATGGAATAAAAAAATAATTACATAATGTAATTTTGCTGGCAAGTTTGGCAAGTTTCATGCCCGCAAGCAAAACGTCCAGATCTTTGCATCACTAACTGAGCTGAATTTCTTCCAGTATAACACTGTAGCAATTACTGGGGAAAATCAAGACCTCACAAAACACAGAAAGTAGCTAAGCGAACAGGTGAATGGACATCAATATACAATGTAACATCCATAATGGAATATTCAAGATTCAAGATTGAAGAGACAGTGATGAAGGCCTAGTATCGAAACGTCCATGCCACACTTATTGTGGATAATTAATAAAAAAGAACGTAAAAGCCATTATTCTTAGCTACTATAAAATGGGGCAGACCGATATATCCAACCTTCCATTCAACTTCTAAAACGGCTTTTCTACTAGGGAGGTCTGGTGAAGAAGTTGTAAAAGAGAATACAGAAAAGTGGATCATTATGTAGTGATGGGAAAATGAAGCTTCATGAACCATTTGCTGTATTTTTTGACCCCACTAGGTGGTGCTCTTGGTTTGCTCGGGGCATGCTTTGAGCCCTTTTATGGACAGAGAGCGCCATCTACTGGGGTCAGAGAGTACAGCAAATGGTTCATGAAGCTTCATTTGGACATCGCTACCATTTTGCAAAAAAAAAAAAGTTTACCTAAATTATTTATATTTATTTTTTAATTATTTATTATTTATTGATCAGCAGCACACAGGATATTTTTGTGGTTCGTTAAATTTAACGAAGTGTTGCACTAATTAGGGCAGCAGGAGGTCAGAACGCAGGCTCAGCCTGTATGCAGCACCCTTGGAGCAGTTGGGGTTAAGGACATCGCACAGAGTCTCGACAGGGGTATAAGACACAAAGCTGTAACCTGCTGAGTGACATAGTGCCCCCTCATACAGGCCCTGATCCCAGCATGTGAAGCCAACAATTAGCCGATATTATGATTCACTTACTAGAAAGACTGGAAGCTTAAAAGATTAGCATAGCATAAAATTTGCATTTTTTTTCCTTAACAAAAAATGTGGCAGGTAAATGGACAGATTACTGCTGCAAGTGAGCAGAGATTAAATTTCACAGAGATTCAAATCACGGCATTTAGAGCTCGAGTCTGACTAGCAGCTGACTTTTACTTGAAAAATTTCGTATGGATCTCATACGTGACTCAAATGCAAACTTTTTCCTCGAGTTAAACATGTTATAAATCAAACCATGACTGCTTTAAATATAAAAACAGATTTTCACCCTTCTCTTCCATGTAATAGTGGGCATGAACAAATTTTTGCAATTCATGACAATGTCAGGTTCGCACACAAATTCAAATTTATATTATAGCAAAAATCATAATCACGATTATTTTTGAATAATATTGAGATCATGATTATTTACCACGATTATCTACCACAATTACTCTCGATCGCAGAAACATTGTATTTATTGAATCATAATAATGAAACTTATACACTCACATTGAAATTGAATTGAAAGCAAAATAAAATTTTAATAAGATAACATACGCTGAACTTGTACAAATATATTTTTTAATTGAACAGACAAAATATACTGAGATTAACTGTTCTCTGAGGTTCAAAAACACTAAACTTGATTTTTTTGAGTCAACTGCTCAGTCCACTGATATAAAAAGTGCAAATGTTGGTTGTGTCGCCTTGTGATGCAGACACAGCTTTGAAACATATTCTGTAAATTATTTGCTATTGTTCTTGGTCCGATTCGTTGAAACCAAAATGATTCCAAATAACTGATGTGTCTTTACTTCTTTTGTCAACCAAAGGTACCCGTCCTGCCATTTTGACCATGAACGCGTTTTGACTGCTGTGCTGTAAGGAATTCACTAACAACATTTGAAAAATCAGTGCGCTGATCTGGATTGCACAACATAAAGTAGGGAATCATTTCAATACGAGATACAAACAAAGATCGTTTTTCTTGATTATGATTTTTTTCAGAATCGTGGCAAGTCATAATTGTAATCGTGATTCAACTTTGAGTAATTGCACAGCTCTAGTACTGTATATACTCACTGCTATTACCTAGTATCATGCTGTGCTCTGTTTTATTAACGTCCTATTAATCCATAAGATTGTGGAGGATAGATTAGATGTGTGTATCTACATATGGGCAGTAGGAATAATCTCTATTATACACATCAGGTTAGAAGGCTAGTTCCGATCCATGTGCTGCATTATATATGCATTATATACTGCATTACAAAGCTAGCTATAGTGCATCATAGATGAGAGCTTCATAAAGCATTCATAATGCATAATAAACATGGCTATAATGTGTTATGCCTTTAGATAAATATGTATAGCCATGCTTATAATGCTTTATCAATGCATTATTATTTGTTATGAATGTGTTTATAAATTAATTAGAACATTGCCTTAAGCGTTACCGAAATGTATGTAACCTGTATGCGATCTATTAAAGTCTGTGTGTGCATTGTTCGGGTCACAGTACAAGCAATAGGAGATTGAGGAAGCAGTCTTGCTCACCTAACTTATGCAACCTAACCCAGACCATCTTCAAAGAAAACAAACGTTACTAGCATTTTTTAAATTATACACAAAATGAAAGGATCCATATTTGAATAAACCACTTTTTCTGTGTAATAAAATGACAAGAATAATAGGCTTCCAAATTTAAGCTAAAAGCTCTCTGTGTAAAACTATGACAATAGCCTGAAGCACATTTTTAACTGAAAAATCCCAGAATGAGAAAAATGTAAATCCAATCCAAAAAAGAACAGAAAAGTTGAAAACAAATCCTTTTAGCACTAAAATGTTTTGCGGCATTTTAAATTAAAAATAACATCGTCCCAGTCCCTGATTGTGCATGCATAGATCAAAGAGTACACTACTGATGCCCTTTGGCTCTGTGAAACACTGAGTCAGTATTAAAATAAATCTTAGTTGTTTTCCATAAAGGCAAGACTTTTTCCTCTTTTCATTAATTTGTCAATGTCTCTGATTTTCAATAATCAGCTATGTAATTAGATTGCTATTGGCTAGAGTCTATTGTTTGAACCCACAACCTGGACAGAATCCCAGGGATCACATTTACTTATACAGTTACACTCAAAAGACTATTCAGTGTTGAGATGGATAATTTGGTTATTTGACAGAACCCAATGAATCTGGATGATATTCAGGCTTAGATTTGACCTCATGTTCCTGATCATTCTAGGTTCCAGGTATTTTCATGCGCCGAACATAAAATTAAAATCTACTGTAGCAGATTAAGTCCTAATGACTCGGGCCGTTGTCCTCTGACCTCCTTCATTAACAAGGTGTTTTCGGCTACAGAGCAACCGCTGATTGGATGCTATTCCGTTTAGTGCTTTCTTCTCTATAAATGCTAGATAATGTACTGTAGTATGTGAAAATCCCTGGAGGAATGCTTTGGCTGAGATGCAAAAAACCCACCCCATCTGTCCCCAGCAATCACGCCAGCTTCACATCCCACATTTAGCCATTTCAATGCTTCACTATACAGTAACTGCACCTCTTGACCCCGTTTGTGCATTCTGTATATCGAGTGGCAGCCCCACGATTCTGTTTCGTAGAGCAGGGGGTTCGGAGTTATAAGCAGGCGTGACGGAAATAGGCCCCTCTAAGCGTATTTACACTCTGATTAGTAATTAATTTTTATAGATGTGTGTTTGCACAAACTGCAGATGAAGGTATTTCAAACTATATGTAATATTGTTGCTAACACCACTTGAATTTCTAGGAAATGGAAGTAACACAGTAGTCAATGTATCCTTAACTGATGATTGCAATATATTGATATTACCTGGTGCAGGGAAGTGCTGTTGTTTCCGCAGGGACAAGCCATCGATCTTCATTTGAAGTGATCTTTGGCGCCCCTGCTCCGCCTCCAGAGCATTTTCAGCTTCCTGCCAATCAGCTGCAAGCCGACCAATCAGGCGCATCACCTCCACCAGGACCCCGCCTACTTCATTCTGAAGAACCGTCAGCGTGCTGCGGCTCTCTGTGTAATAATGGGAAAGCTCCTTAACAACCAGTCTGCATAACAATGAAATTAGATACAGAAACTTCTTTTTCTGTTTACTTATCTTGTACTGAGGATAATGAAAACAAAAGAAATCATCCTGTAAGAAAAAAAATAATAATACTAATTTCAGAGAGAATATCAGAGATTTATAAATACCACTTAAGCATGAGCCAAAGTCTTCAACACATTGGGCAGTAGGAAATTCAGAAATCCTTGAGACCCTGCACAAAAATCTAAATGAATGAGAAATGAAAAACATAAACAAATAAACAAACACAAATTAATGAGATAGATAGATAGATATCAGAAAACACACAAGACATGACATTTTAGTAATAAACAGTGTTTTATTCTACAGATCTTCAAAGACATACTGTCACGATCTCACACTAGCAGCAACAAATAAGTGACAGAGAGTAACCACAATCACTCTCTTCATTATGCATCAGGTCCATGTCAAACATAGAGCAAAGAAACGAAGTACATGCGCTTAGACTATAAAAGCTTTTATCTAACAGACCTAAAATATATCATAAAAGCAGCACAGTTTTCAAGGTGGAAATCATTTTGTTTACTATGACATTCATTCAAACTGTACACAGCCTCCGTAATTAAAGTGACACTCTTGTGTGACTTCAAAGTTTGTGTTTCCAGTAGCAGAAAGAAATCTTGCTGCTTCTACTTGGACAAAATAGACTGTTGAAATGCTGCATCGTAAAGAATCAAAGTATCAAACAGCAGAAGATGTAGAAAACCCCATGATACGATAATGTTAATGCTTTAATAAATCTGTTAGCCAGAGAGTATAACGTGTAGAGCCCAAGAGTGTGAAAATATGCAGTAACGAGGCTTTACATGTGGAAGTTAGTGATAGGCAGCCAGCCATTGCCAAAATGTAATTAGACAGATGTCAGCTGGTCGTTTTCAGTATAGGAATGATAAAAATGTAGCAAAGACTGAATATAATAATAGCTGCCCTAGGGAAGCTGATGCAATAATGGGAAGTATATTTGTACTGTAACGACCCTCTCTGTCATTCATTCTGATGCAGTCTCAGGTACCAACAGTAACATTAGAACTGTTAGCCTTGTCACTTGTTACACAATCAGAGACTTTAATCTGAGATAACATGGGACTCTTACATAGAAAAAAAAAATCCTGGTTTTCCTCAACCAGATTGTGTTCTTCATAGCACTGGCACGATGTTCTATGGAATTCATTGTGGCAACCAAATCAAATCAAGATCTTAACACTGAGAAGAGATGCAGATACATTCCTGGAGATTGAAAACTGGACTGCTGGAGATGAGACATGCCGTTTTGCCAGTATGGACTTGGAAACAGAAACAAAGTTGGAGAGCGACTAATTAGCTTTGGTGAATCCAGCAACCTGTTCATTGCCAATACAATGCAAGCAATCAAAGCATAGTCTTCACACCTGGACATGACCAGATGGAGTCTACAGTAATAAACAGACTACATTCCCAGGACCATACAAGTGAAAAAGAGCTCAATTGAAACAGCAAAGACGTGGCGTGGGGCAAATTGTGGAACAGATCACAAGCTACTCACATGCAAACTGCAAGTGAAAGTGAAATGGCACAATAAGCAAATATCACATCCAAGAAATTACCTGAAGACTACACCCACTGAAAAATATCACAATCCAGTAAGAGATGCTGGACCTACTTGATAGAGAACCTGTGGACAGGATTCATAGAGGTAACTAATGAGGAATATAAGAGAATTTGACTAAATGAAATCTGCACAAAAAAAAGTTGATGGCAGAAGCCAAAATGGAAATAGAAAAGAGAGCAAATCAAAAGAGATAAAGACGCGTTAAATGTAATGAACTGTTCCAAAAAGCTACCAGAAAAGACAAAAAGTACGAGATCACTGAAGAAGCAAATAAACAAGGAATAATAAGGCTGTTTTAAGACAAGCCGGCAAATAAAATGATGAAAAGACATTAAAAAAAAGTTCTAACCTCAAGTAGGTATGATAAAGGACATCAATGGACAAATAATAACTGACAGAACAGAACAAAGCAGACATAAAAGCAGATATAAAAGGAATACAGCGAGACCTTTATAGCAAAGATATCAACCATCAGGGCATATTTACTAAGGTCAAACACATGGAAGAATATTGTATAATGGAAGTGAAGATGAGATTGGCCCTATCACTGCTGAGCAGGAAATGTTAATGTAGACACCGACAGAAATGTATTAGATTATAATAATCCTGAGGAGAATCAAAATGTTAACTGAATTATGCCAACACGTCAGGAAGACATTTCAATGATCTACAGACTGGAATAAACTCCTAATAAAAGGATTTTGGGAAGGTTACTTTGGCCACAAGCCAGTACAAGCGAGATCTTGAAAAGATTGCAGCAAACAAGACTGTCAGGCGTTCCACTAAGTAAACCGAGGTAAGGAAGGACTAATTAAAAATAACAATTAATTAATAATTAAAAACCCTTAGGCTATTATGTCATTAGGCCTGTAAGTCACTGTTGCAGTGTGGCCATCCGTGTACTTTGCAATGGCGTCAGAGTTGTTCTTGCTCTTTATGCTGGACTGGTTGCACATCCCTGTTACTGACAATGTTTGCCTACTTGGCCTCACTGACGGCACGAGATCTAGAGATCAACAGATCAAGAAATATGATGCAGACAGAGACTTTACAGCACTGCAACAAACGACCTAGAGAGAGAGAGAGAGAAAGAGAGAGAGAGATAGTACTCATACATCTCTAAGAACAAAATGAGACAATCAAAATATTCCCTATCACTATTTATGGATGTATAATTTGGACAATGAAGAAATATGCTTGCCCAATATGGTTCATGTTATGAAAAGACGCAGTACATCAGAAAAGACCATAATGCTTCAAAGAGTTAAATGTTAAAATGGAACAGAACAAACAGCAACTAGACGAATGGACCCAGTCGAGACAACAATGAGCTTGCCTTCAGGAAGCAGGAGGACTTGGAAAGGTGTTATGGCGACCATGAGTCGACCCCGACTTCACAACGCTTATTAATAATATTAATTAACCAAGGACCAGAGCATGAGCGAGTCAAAGGTTATATTTATTCAAGCAGCTCTGAGGACTCCTTATCTGTCACAGCCATCTGTTCCACAGGCAGCTGCAATACAAGATGCTCTAATTATTTCTCTCCTGTTTTAGCCAATAAAGTTCTTATGTGGAGAAGAGAAAAATATTAAGCACAATTCCTACCAGAGGGTGACAAAAACTAAGTGGGAAGTACATTCTGTTTAGTACACAGTTTCTTACCCTGGAAACTCACCTCGGAAAGGATTGTCTGTTCATAAAAATAACTAAGATCATTGAGACTTCCAGTCATAGGTCTACTGGCACTTTCAGACACCTGTTACTACGTCCAGTTACATTTATTTATTTAGGAGACTATTTTGTCCGAAATGAGATATAAGTGAAGGGAGTGTGAGGTCAAAGAACAGGGTCAACTAATATCTGGCATCCCAGTAGTTTTGGGTTAATGGCCTAGCTCAAGTGATATGATACAGACACAGATCCCAAACCCTACAGATCTACAGGCCATACCAGATGCAATCATGGTTGACTGACTCAGTATCCACCAATATTTTGACAACAATACAGACCTCTCTGGAGGAAGAGGCCGTACATGTCTATGTGAAGGAAGCTGTATGGAATATGCTCCTTAACTCTCATCATATACCATTCATATTTCCAATGTGATGAATCCTTTCAAACCTAATACCCACATAATTATTTAGGTGATTAGTTGATCTCTTTTCATTTGTTCCATTTTTTTCTTCTCCACTTTCAGTTTTTTCCACAGCAGCTCCATTTTAGACACTCCCTTCCCCACAGAATTATTGTTCATCCATATTTCCCTTTTATCCATTTCCATGAAATAAATCAAACGCAATATTCTCTTATATGCAAGATTCTACTCAATGAACATTAAATCTGATCATTCATTGTTGTTTCTTGGATGAAAAAACAAAGGTTCTGCAATTCAAACCTTATAATTCAAATGTAAATTCGAACATGGAAACCGACACACACCTGTGTGTTAAACAGACGGCATACAAGGACAGTACACATCAGCCTAAGCATAGGATTTAGCTGATTATTAGTTTATTATGGTTTGTTGACAATTCATTTTAGTGCTTTAATTATGTTTTAGTGCCTTAATTATCCCTAAGATGGGCTAGTTGCTATTACGTATTTGCATATCCCGGTAGAGTCACCATGGAGCACAAAACTTTAATTAAGCGGATAGATGCTGAATAACAGCACGGCTACATTATTCTGTTAATTAGCCTTTTCTGATTCTGCTGTTTGATGGTAGGAACTTATTCTGGGTAGTTGTAATGTATAGTTAGTTCCACATAGTGTTTTAGTAACAGCGTCCTACCACCAAGACGCTGGGTTACAAAGATAAGGGTGTTGACTCGCAGTAGTCCGATGAGGAAAGCCATCTGTCACTGTAGACAGTTCCTAATTAACATTCCTTCTCCACTTACTGCTAACTCTATCGTTCCAGTCTACACCAGCAGCCCATCTGATCCAGCACTGATGGGCAGCCACGTCAGCACTGCCAAGCTGCAGTGAAGACAGTTGACTTTATTCCAGTCTATGCTCTCTTCTTTCTGTCCCGATTTCCACGGATTACCCAGAATGGCATAGATATTCCATCCTGACATCTCTCCCAACTGCTGATCAAGGGGCACAAGTTTGTATATTCCCCTCGTGAGAATGAACTGTCAATCGAATGTGTCATATTCGAGTTTCCTCTTTTGTGAATAACATGCAGGAAGAGTATTTATAAAACTCGTAGCTGATGCTTTAATGCAAGATACAGTAAAATCCCGTTATAGTGGACTCGCTTATAAAGGAATATCGTCTATAAAGGACGAGGTCCGCTGGTCCCAGCCGTGTGCCTTTAAGAACATGCAGAAAAAGCATCGGATATAGCGGACTCGCATATAATGGAATTTCGCTTATAACGGACAAACAGTTTGGTCCCCAGGGCCGCTTTTAGCTGTAGTTTTGTTCGGCTATAACGGACATGCAGCTCCGCCTACAAGGCGCGTGGCGAGCCGGTGATATCCAGCGTAGATACGTATGTAGTCGGGGTTATTAATAATCACGCATCTGGTCAGGTAAAGTTGGATTACTACATGTACAATATAATAATCTATACCACAAATGTGTCTGCTGAGGTGTGGCATGAGTAAATGGTGTCCTGTAGTTGTGTTCTGGGCAACTCTGGATATAAAGGACTGTTTTGCCAGGTCCCTTGAAGTCCATTATAACTCAATTTTACTGTAGTAAATTTAACATTTAAAGTTATTTATAACCTAAGAAATTGTTATGACATTCCTTTATCAAGAGTATTGTATTGGCAGGCAGACCGAGGCATCACCAGAGCAGCGAAGGACGAAGAGACTTGCTTGCCGGGAGTAACATGCTCTTTAATTGTAGCCCTTAACAGGACGATAACAGGCACTGATTGAGCACCGAACCCAAACACAATAGCAGAAACACAAGGATTTCAGATGCTAAACTGTAAGGTGCACACATAGCGAGAGATTTATATAAAGCTAAGAACAGGATGGAACAGGGTTCACATTAGACATGGACAAACATACACGCCACAATGGGAAAATACAACTATTATAAACAATAGCAAAACAAGGTGCTATTTACAATGCATAGACAGGGGCTATCTAAAATTACCTGTGAGCATGCCTGGAATGCTAATCCCCACCAGCGCTACAGTATTACACTAGGGCCATAAGCAGAAGCAGAAATTTCAGGTCCAGAAAGTGAAAATCCAGACCAAGATTTTGTTTCAACCAACTAGTTGAGTACTCTGTGACTGTGACTCTTTATGCTCAACTGGTTGGTTGAAACAAAATCCTGGTTTGGATTTTTTACTTTCTTGATCTGAAATGTCCACATCTGGTCCTCTCATACACTATATGGACAAAAGTATTGGGACAAACCTCTTCATCACTGAATTCAGGGGTTTCATTGCCACAGATGTACAAAATCAAGCAACTAGCCATGCATTCAGGTTTACAAACACTAGTGAAGGAATTCTGAAGAACTCAGTAAATTCAAGTGTGGAATTGAGGTTGTCACCTTTGTAATAAGTCAGTCCATGAAATTTCTTCCCTGCTGGATATTCCACAGTCAGCTGTAAGTGGTATTATTGCAAAATGGAAGCTTTTAGGAATAACAGAAACTCGATTTGGTTTCGATTTTTGACTTCCTTTAAAATTCTCTCTTCTTATTCAATAATTGACAGCAACCTGTCTATTGACTAAGCTTCCTGCCCCTGTGATCATTACTATCGTTCTATCTCTTATGATGCTACTCTCCCCCAAAAGCCAAGGCTCCTAACTGGCCAACCACAAGCAGCGAAACCTCAGTCTTACCCTTTTAGCCAGACATGCTATCACTGCTGCCTCTTTGTTTCTACTTCCCATTGTTATGATCTCGTCTCAAAGCTTCACCACCATTTTGAAGATGACAACCTTTCTTAATATTCCCCTTGGACCCATATATTTCTACTCACATTAATACCTGTTTTTCTCCATCAGGAGGGCTAATCATCATCTGAAGCTGACCTGGGGACGTTCCTCTTCAAATCAAAATAATATTTATTCTTGTCTTTTCCGAGTCACCACACACTTCATCAGCACTTCCAACACGTAACATCGATAACAGAATAATGGAGACATCTTTAGAATATCAACCAGTGTATTCTCTCTCCCTTATGTAATAGTCTGTTCTACATGGCTTCTGCTCTAGGCTGTGATCATACCTCTGCTTCGTCATTAAAAACTCCCTCCTTTGAACCAACTACTAGCTTGTGAATACCTGATATTGTGAATTCACCTATCAAATTAACTTAAGTTGAATGCAGTTTTATTTATATCCTAAGGCACTTACATTTTAGTCGTAAAAGCTTAATGCCTCAACCCACTAGATCTCTCTTTAGTAGCCAGTAGTTGAGACTTTGCTATGATTTACAACATAATGCAAGTTTCAGAAAACATTTACAGTAAGAAGGAATAAAGGATCACCTTATAATGGATTTCATCTGAAAACATACTTTTTTCATGCCATACTATAATATTGATTTGAAGTAAAATAAATTGCAGTTAATTATTATCACAATTAGTATCACAAAATTAGACGATCCACCATATTATACCATGAACATGCCGCTGAAAACCTTGAAGCTCCAGATAGAAAAGAGGAGGTTCCAGACTCCATATGGCTGACAGGAGTGGACATTAGATGGCATCTTGATATCTTTGATATCTTTATTAGGTGACATCTTGATACCTTTGATATCTTTATTAGATGGCATCTTGATATCTTTGATATNCTTTGATATCTTTATTAGATGGCATCTTGATATCTTTGATATCTTTATTAGATGGCATCTTGATATCATTGATATCTTTATTAGATGACATCATTGATATCTTTATTAGATGGCATCTTGAGATCTTTGATATCTTTATTAGATGGCATCTTTATCATCATCATTGTTGTTGTTTTTAGGTTATGATTAAACAATTTTTTCCCAGTGAATCTCAAAAATGAACATGATATTCTCATTCCTATGTCTATCTCCTAAAGATAAACCATAACATTCAAATATTTCATACATAGTGTGTGTGTGTGTGTGTGTGTGTGTGTATACACACAGTTCCAGAGATGCTCTGACCTAGTTGTGTGACCATAAAGATTTGACCCTAGTCACATACTGTAGGTCTTTATCCCTGCCCATTTTGTATGTGATGCATGAATACAGTCAATTGGTTTTAATGTACTTACCTACAGTACCTCTCAACTTTGCTGTCAACTGTTTTTTGGGCCGCCTTGTGAAAGTGATTTGCAGACTAGACAAAGAGAAGACATTCGGTAGTCAAGAAATAACCCATTCATTTCAACGCAACTCAATTACAATAGGCAAGCCTGAATATTATATTTAAGCTACTGGTCATTATGATAATATAAAAATAAAACATTGCTACTGTGCCAATTATATTTACAGCAAATTAATGAAAATGAAGCAGAGTATATTCATCCAGAAAACGATTAAGATACTAAAAGCAATCATTTACTACTGAGAGAGCCTATGTCATCACATTCACTTCTCCTTCTTTAACAGTTTCCATGGATACGGAATGTGCACCCCAGGCAGTCCTCCATAAACACGTCAGACATCACAACATCGCAAGTTATCTTTTATGCATCGGTGGCTGTAAAGCATGTTCACTACTCTGTGATCGATAAAGTTTATATTCCGGAGCTGAATAACTGAATTTAGCATAACAATAAGCAGAATTTCAGAATTCTCTCTTTGTGAGCGGAGTACCTTCAAATACCTTGACAGTAAAAATAAGAACCCCCCCCCCCCGCGACCGGGCTTTGTTTGGTAGGCTTTGTTGTAATGTATTTTATTGTATGAAATGCATTTTAACTCTGTAAAATCTCTGACAAAGACTACAATTTTACTAGTGATTCTTACAATAGAATGTCTTTATGTTAACACCACAAATCCATTGCTAGCAAGCATTAGATATCATTTTAGTATAAAATTATAAAAAAGACATTCATATTATTCATACTATATTCCATCTTCCACGAACATAGTACATAAAATATACTGAGGTTTAAACTGATTAATATCAATAATCCCATTTTAAAATTTGGCAGCATATAGCCACTGAACAAATTGTACTTTGTTACAAAGACTATCGATTCTGACGACAATATTTTGACAACCTTTATTGCTAAAAATAATATTGCTGGGCCAGTCAGCCTGAACATTTCACCTTTGCCAGCAAGCATTGATATGATGAGGCCATTTAAAAAATATGCTGTTTTGTCTACAACTAAATTTATGTTCCTTCCATTATAATTCAGAAACACCATTTGACTTGTAGGATGGGAATATCCATAGAAAGTTGCAAGGAGTCCAAAACAGGAATATAAGGTTTTTTTAGATGATCTATTCTGGTCTTGTTCCCCAGCTGTTGAATCTAATAATTCATTAACTAAGTGACAATAAGCAAGAACTGTGGCATTTCTGCCAAGAAGCGACAAAATATATAGTTGCGTGAATGACTTTTTGTTTGTGTGTAGTACATAATTAAAAAAAAATAGACTCCAGACACTATACATCTCAAACTAATGTTTATAGCTCAGTAAATCGTAAAGCACTGTAGATAACAACAGTCCAGGCAGTTTAATAATAGTACCCCCCCCCCCAAAAAAAATGATTTTCATTCTTTTCCTTCACTGCAACACCTGATCTAGATGGAAACGATACGACTATCTGCTTTTTTCTTACCTGCTCACAGTTTTCAAGTTTTCGTTGCAGCTCTCGAATATGTTGAATAGCCTTGTTAACACACAGCGACGGTGTGTTTGCCAAAGCACAAGTACGCCGTCTACTGGAGCAGGCCTTCTGTAAATCGTCCTCATCTTTGTAAACACACAATAAAAAAGATCAATAAATACACTGATACTTAGCATCTTAATTCTCCAGAGGTTCTTACTTAAATATCAAGCTGGAAAACATGCCATGTGCAACAAAGTGTGTCTTTGAAAAAGCCAGGTAATCCACTAAAACATGAACTATTGTTATTAGTGTTGTTGACATGACTAGGTCACATTATATTATGCCACATTATATGCTAGCCAGATCACATTAACATATGTCTGTACTTCAGGAACATTGACTGTAATATTATCATAAACAACACAAATTAAATTATAGGAGAGAGTATATTCTTTTTCATACAATCTACTTGATACAACAGTAATCCATTCAGTGGCCACTTCATTAGGTACATTGTACTGGGTTGGGCCCACTTTTGCCCACAGAACCCATTTCAAGGGTAGAGGAGTTGTGTGTTTAGAAAAGCCTTGTTGCATAACTCTGTTGTACTAAGCTCTTATTTTTGCACTTGTGGTGCTCCTCTTAGCTTTAACGAGTCTGATACAACCTCTCATTAACTAGGTGCTTTTTGGCAACAAACATGCCATAAACTGGATGTTTTCATGCATCACACCGGGGCGGAGCCTAACCTTGGCCGGACTAGAACCCAATGATTTTACAGGGGTGGCAATGGGGTGCTATTTTGCTGACTGGGGGGGCAAGCTCCCCCCTCGGTAATTTTTCCCGATCGTGAGCATTATCCATTAATCCTCTCATAATCGACTTGCCGACGTGCCACGACTGAGCGATTGACGGGTTGGAAAACTCTGGTATACAGAATTGAATGCTGCAGATTTTGTGCTTATTTTTTGGTGAGGGGTCACGCAACTCAGGTGGCCACATACTTACTGGCTTTGCAAAGATCACTTTTCTGTGTACTGGGTAGTTCAGCAACCAGCCTAGTCGAAATGCTGCTTCTTCTCCAAATGCATGTATTTAAGTCACTTTGGGCTTCACAGACAATTGTTTGTAGCCTCAGTGACATCAGTAGTGCTCGTTGTATGAAAGGCTAAGAGTGAAGAAATTAGCAAAAATAGAGACTTCAAAGACATCTGGAAGGCAAAACACTGCTTTATTCTCCCTGCGGGAATGACATGCTCTGAGTGTCTGTTTTGTTCAGAGTCCATGGCAGTTGTGGAAAGGAGCACTGTGAAGCGTCATTATGAAACAAAACAGGGACACTTTGAGGAAACAAACCCACACAACCCAAAGTAGAGAATAAGTGAAATAAATTAACTGCAAATTGATTGTCTGCCACAGTAATTTCCAGTACATTTGCAGTTCAAGAACATGCAGATGAGCGTTAATTGAACGTACCCTAGACTTTGGGGCAACACACAAAAAAAAGATTTAGTTTGACAGGAACGCAAATGCAGTTGCTGAGACAATGATGAAGATAAAAATCACATAGATCACCCTGTCAGCAACAGCATTTAAATGTGCAGGATATGGGTTGTATATTTTTTAGTTTTTTTTAAAGAAAACTTTAATATTCATGTTTAGTACTGCTTACTAGTCTGTCAACCCTTTCTGTCAACCGTTTCTGAGATGCTGGGATAGCAGATGGGGGGGGCAGCGTGTGGCTCCGGGGGCTGAACCCGGCCCCCGAGTGAGGCCCTTAACCCCCAGCTCCATGGACACTGCTACAGGTGGCTGCCCTTCACTGCCAAGCTCACGCTCACTGTACCTACACACGTTGCAGTGTGTCATGGAGAGCAAGATGAGGTACGCAAAAAGAAAACCTGCCCATGGTGAATATCCGGCACCGTCACGCACACAATGTTCAAAATCAAGTCCATTGCAAGTGCTTGCCTTTCTACTCAAACGTCAAGTGCACCTTAATGTCACATGACTGCTGTTAGGGTGAGCAGGCTATTGGCGTTAACAAGCGGATGAACACACAACTCATCTACACTTTGAGTAGTTCTCAGGGTAGAAGTAGCTATTACACCGTACTACCAATTGATTGTGTGGCAAAACTAAATAGTAACTATTTTGTTGTTCATTTCATTATGGAAATTACCTTATGTGTAGCAGTCGCTCTATTTACAACAGTTTTCATTTTATTGAGAAATTCTGCAGGATGTTTTAACTCTTAAATTCCCTGATGCATTTATACCAGCAAGTGCATCAATAAATGGGGCATTTTTTTATGATTTACCCAAATGTTGACAAATTCCTTGTTCTGCAACGAAAGCTTTATATTATTACGCAGAAATATGCACAATTAGTTATTTAAACAATCATCCATCACGCTGGCAGCAGACCAATCCCTTACCATAAACATAATGTTCTGTAGATAGGGGGAGCTGGACTTTTGAAAGATCTATAGCAGTACAATCGGTGTAAAAAAAACAAAAACAACAACAATAACAGACAGTGGCAACTTTAGAAAAGCGGTAACTGCTTTATGCAAGTGGGTCTGTCTGAAATTTTAATGTACGACCACTGTAGCATTCCCATTGTTTGGAGGAACCTGTTTTCAGTGTGCAGTCGATCTCCCATTAACAACACAGAACACAAACAAACCAGACGCTGACATCCAGTCGTCACACCTTCTACCTGATTTTTCCTGGAAAGAGACACAGTGGGAAACAGGCAACTGATAGGACTTTGGGCTGCTGACGGTCCAGACAGCTCCAGAACAAGATGAGTAAGAAAAGACTCGAATGCAGAGAACTGGTAAACACTGGGGAGGACAAGCATTCCAGAGACGGGACCCTGGAATCCAACCAGATAAATGAGCCAGAAGACAGGAAATGCAGAATGATAGATTAAAAACGGAGAGATAGGGGAACCAGCTTGGAGATGAGACTCCAAGACCTAGAGACTAGGACTTTAGCATAATATTTTTCCTTCATGTCATATGTTTTCCTGCTCATATCAGTGCAGCATCTTTTCTTGTCTTCGAATAATTAATCAATCATCCTATTAGACATTTTGTTAATAATAATCATTATTAATGATCTAATTCGACTAATTATTTATTAATTATTGAACTTGATATTATTAATAATTATTAATGTTAATAATAATAATTATTATTATTATTTTGCAAGTATGCCATTAAGGATTATCATCTTGGAAGCCTTACATGAAAAAGTTTACATGCACTGTGTTTTTTTACCCATAAGTACAGGACAGAAAGCAGGCGATTCCCTAGGGGATTCCCTAGATGGGATCCTAGCCCACTGCATTGTGCACATGCACACAACGATACGTTTGTTTTGTGCTTCTTACCAACTGTGTTTTCACTGCTAACATCTACACATACATGTCTTTTTTACTTCATTTCACTGAAAGAATTGTATTCAGTTTTCCAAAAAGAAAAATGCAAACTGAGCCATACAATCCCTTTAAGAGGGTATTGACCACAGTCACTTCATAATAATATATGTGCAGTATGGTGATAAATGAACATCATGCTGTTGATCTATTTCTTGTTATAAGGTAGTTTCAATTGATCTGTAGGCCCGCTATTTTCTTCCAGCAATTTGCATTAGGGCAAACTGATTTCATCTGTCAAAGACAAGTGCACAAAACATCAGATTACATTACACCTGGGTCTGGCCAATGTCATTAAAGCATACATGCATTTAAAGGCAACTTTGCAGTGCTTAGTTTAGAGAGCATTAATACGAATGCATGCAAGTATGCATCTTCATGCACACATGAATCAACCAAACACCCATGAAGCAAGCAACAGACAGGGTTGGTTGTCTGTATAGTATTTACTGAACTGGGTTATACAGTGCAAAACTGCAGAACTGTCTAGAACACAACTATCTAACAATGCACTCAAAAGCCTTACTGCCACTGAAGAAAAATAACACAGTGTATACCTCAACACTGATTTATAGACATTTCAACTGCGGATCCCTATATCACAGTCAGTGCGCATTACATTACAGACACACTGGAGCTGAAATAAAGAGTACTGCAGACCAGCATCCCTCCCAAGAGATACTCCCAGGCACATCACTGAGAGGCAGTTACATTTAAATCAGTTATTTGCAATGGTAACAATGTAAAAATGGTGAAACAACTACGCAGGCAGTTTCTGCACTGGTTGCTAGGCCAGTTCCATAGAAACGAAGACTATCAGTGCTAGCATATCATACGGCCAGGGAAAAGCAATAGAGAGCTTCATAAATATTTTCCACAGGAATTTAATAGAACAGCTGTCACTGGTAGCTCGGCCAGTTCCATAGTAACAAAGATGTTAAGTGCTAGCATATCACATAACCAGAAAATAGCAATAAACAGCTTCATAAATATTTTTCTTCACTGGAATTGAAAATAACAGCAGTCATCTGCTCTGTGCGAAAGAAATTTCCATTATGCTACCTGCGGAGGAAAAGAAAAAAAAGCAACATACCTTTTTATTATTTGAGACTGATGATTTGATACAATGATCATGCAGTCTCCAGTAGTAACGAGATATGTAGCTTTGCCCTTTTAACTATTTTGAGTGTTCATATCACATCCCAGATCTGGCGCTATAATCCTTATTATGGTATGGTTGAATCGAACACCTGCATTTTCTCCAGGATGCAGAACACCACCTATTATAATCTGTAAATCAGTCAAAAGTGAATTTTGGTTCCTAAATGACGTATGAGGAGTTTAGGTCACTGGCCGTCTCGTGTCAAAGGCAACAGCAACAAAGATGGACTGAGTGGGTTTTGAAAAAAATCTGCTCTTCAAATGCACATGAGCTGCAGTCTGCTGGACATCCACCTATCCTCCATAATCACTTACCGCTGATGAGCCTGAAAGCACACGACGCACGTGACAGGCAAAGTCAGAGTCACCTAAGCTGCATGCTTTTGGATCAAGGTAGCGAGCCCATGGGGTGTCCACAAACAGGGAGAGAACATAGATACTGCACGCACGGGCAGAAATGATTCTATTAATCCTCAGTTTGAACTTTGAGGCCATAAGGACAAATGTCAACACGTCGCACTGACGATTTAAGATTTCGTTTTATTAAAACAACCAGATGTAATATGCATAAGTAATCATGCATGGATATGAAAGGAAAGTAATAAAAAAAAGGTCTTTAGATAACTGACCTTGTAAAGGTGACTCATTCTGCCTTGAGGGACATTTCAGCATTTTTAAGCATGTAATTGGAATTTGTCCGCACAGACCTACAAACACAATGCAATTTGATAACCATTTTCATAGTTAGTACAGTACACCACTAATATATATATATATATATATATATATATATATATATGTACTATACGTAAGTGTGTGTGTGCCTATAGTACACAGTTTGTACAATACTACATGCAAGCTTTAATGTGTATGAAACTGAAAAGATGCATCGTAAAACCTCACTAAACTGCACTGCATGACTTCTAATAAGGTCACTGTAGTTCAATAATATGGAAAGTAAAAATATGCCAACACATGGATCACATGTACTCATTAAACTTTGACAGTCTTGTTACTACACTACATATTTCGTGCCGTAAATACAGTTCGTTTTGCAGCGTGCAAGATATAAATAGCACTAAAACTGCCAATTACCTTCTCATTTGTTGGGTGTCAGGCAGCTATATCTAGGTAGTTAATTATGTTACTATATTTCTGGCCGACACTTGCTGGTGAGTCATTCGCATTCTGCTGCAGAAACACGAAGGATTTTTGCTAAAGGTGAAACCAACCTTTCAGAAATCAGAAGGCTGTTTAATCCCTGCTACCTGTCCACGCCGCGGAGTGTGTTTGCGCGTGCTGGCTGCAGGGCTGCGTGTTTCTGCGTCCAGTGGTTACCAGGCGACGGGTGCAGCGCGTGACCCATAAGCAAGTTTCAGGGACAGAGAGCGGGGATGTGTCTGAAAGTTAAAGCAAGCAAACAAATAAATACAATTAAAAATAAATGAATTAAATTAAATAACGATAATAATATGTATAGCGCATATTATAAATATTATTACTATTTTTATCCCTTACATATATTACCAATGCAGTACGTTCGCAAATGCAAATTAAATGGAAAAAAAAAACTAACCACCTAACAAATAACAAGGCAAAGCCCCTGATAATGTGAAAAATTTAAATATAACGACTTATGCAGTAGTTTTTTTATCTAGTTACATGTGATCTGGGACATTAAACAGAAAGTCAGTTAAGATAAATCGGGATGCAGTATTCATCAAAAAAGGGAGGAACCATTTCAAGGAATTTAGATAGATGATGGGCAATAAGAACTATCGGTGACTCGTTCTTTTTGTTAAAGTAACTGCCTGGTGATAGAAAACGTAAATGGGTCCTTGTGCATACTGTAGTTCGGTGATAGACGACGCAATCAACAATGCGCGATTACTTTACTTCTTAAAGAAGTTGGTCCAAAACAAACAAAATACACTTCAGAGATGCCCCTTTCTGGGTGGCATTTTTTATATAACTAGATATATTAAAAGTCACGTTGCCGGGGAGAGAGCTCGCGAGAGCGCTCGCGGCCGGGAGGCAGTCGCCGCGTGACGTCAGCGCGTGTTATTGTTGTTTCCAGCTGTCAGCTGCTGCAGTGGCGGCGCTGGAGCGGCGCTCTGTGTCACTATGTCACTGTGTCATTGTCTTCGCCTCCCCGCCGCTGCCTGACGGCCGCTCATGAAGCCCAGCAATGAAGGACAAACGCAGGAAGAAGGACCGCACCTGGGCAGACGCAGCCCGCCTGGTAAGCTCTGCCTTTCGCCGCTTTGGAAACGTGCAAAAAAAGAGATGATGGTGCATAAAGTCCGATCCGCTTCGCCCACGTTAAACTGCACGGGGGAAGGAGTGAATTCAGTGCTATTTCGTGCTGTCAGCTTTCACGCTTTATAGTGAGATAGCAAGATGTCTTTCTCTTTAGCAACCAGGTGATGTGGAAATTAAAAGTAGCGAAGTCACTGGCATCGTAACCATGCCTTGGAATGGCAGCGAACGGCGTGCTTTTACTACGGCGTTAACTTAAACGGAAACTGGCAAATCTGATTGCTTAGTGTGACCAGTACGACGGGATTGTAGTAATTAAAGTTAAATCTGTGGCAACAATTAATAATAATAATTGCAAATTAGTCTGACTCTTGGGATGAACATTGAGGTTGTCCCGTGATTTTTAAGTGCTCTTTACAGTCTCTGGTTTTATTATTTTTTTTAGCATGTTAACTGAGTTTGTTTGTTTCTATGTTTGTTTGTTTATTTGTTTGTTTGTTTAGTTCACCTTCAGAACTAACAGTGTTTATCCGCAATTTTGTCAGAAGGAATTAAATGTTAACATTTATGTTAAGTGTTAAGTGTGAGTACAGTATGTGTGATTATGTGTATGTGTGCGTTAATTATAATAGGTATACATTGTGAAATCTATTGTTTCTTATCAATAACTTAATTATGTACACCACACTGGTAACTTAGCTGTCTTAATGCCATCGTTTTCAATGTTCACCTTGCACTGAAGTCTCTGTCACTGTAATGTATTTTTTTTTTGACATGATAAAATTGTTTGCATTTTATCTGTTCCGTTTCGCTATCCACTTGACTTATGGAAGTGCCCGAGACTGTTTGTATGCTTTATGCTTAACTTGCAGCATACATCCTCGTAGAGAAATTGTTATTGGCTGGATGCCGTAAATCGGGATAAAAAAAAAAAAATCACTTGCCGGCAACAAAGCTGTTATTTATTTTTTTTCCGCTTATTGAGAAGACACACCCAGTCTTGGAGGTGTTCCTCTAATGTAAAAGGGACTAAAACTGTATTTATGCCCTGTGACCCCCACCAGCATAAGTGGATGGATGGAGGGATTATGTTCACTGCAATACCCCAGAATCTCAATTCAGTTGGCTCTCAGTGATGATACATGTGTGGTTAATTTTGTATAATAAGCCTCATATACTGTATATATATATATATATATATATATATATATATATATATATATATATATATATATATATATATATATAATCATTATTTATTTATTTATTTCTCTCTCTTTTTTCAAGTTGAAAAATGATTATTGCAAAAGTTGCTTGGATAGACCATGGTGGATGATGATTGGATGAATGAAATGTTCACTTTATCCTGAAGCATATAAGGCATCAGAAACACGTGTTAATTGCCTATTGATTAGCCATACATTTTTTGTCCAACCAGTGTTACATAGCATTTTTTTCTATAGTACATTCTTGAATTATTTGGATATTTATCAGGCCTAATTAATTATTGTAATTAAAGGTATTACATCAATGCAACATACTGTAATGTAAATGAGACTTTAATGTAATGTCTCAATGCTTACCCATAACCTTTGATGCTTCTTAATTTATGAGCCAATTCCATTTCATTCTTTTTAACTTCCTTTTAATCAGGATAATAGTAATGGCTTTTATGATAATCATCATGATTGTTATTATTAGTAATAGTGATGTATGCCAGCTTAGCATGTCTGGCTTCTGGACTCCACTTTGTTGTGCAAACATTATGGATGGTAATCAAGATCCAGCCTGCAGAATGGTCAACCAAGGTTGAAGTACCATGATTAACAGCAATTAATATGTCATTAGAATATGTTAATATTTCTCGAATAAGGGTAAGAATTGGAATCGTCCTGTGCAGAAAGACAGCTAAGGATATTGGTGTGTGATAGAGTGCAAAAAAACGCAGCTCGTAGTTGTTTGTACAGTTCAGGAATTTGACCTTTGTGAAGAAAAGTGACTCATTTTGAGAAATATCATTTTTGTGTACAGGGTGACTTGGTGCCAGCGTTGCTTCAGAACTCCAGGGTTCGGGTTAGACTGCGTGGGTGTTACACGCTTACTCCATGCTGCGTGGATTTCCTCACGCAGCTAATAGACGTGCTCCAGACTGACATCGTGACCAGGGTGTAACCCCCCCCCCCCCCTCCCATGACCCTGAGGAGATGAAGGCAACTGGCTGTTTTTTACAGATGCAGACAAACGTACTTAAAAATCCAGTGCTGAATATTGGTTTGTGACTTGCGATTACAGTTGAGTTGAGAAATAGGTTATGAAATTAACAAAGATAAACAAGCAATACATTTGCAGCTGAAGCCTGGATGACCTTTTAATCCCTTTAGATCTTTTCCAATTCAATTCAGTTCAGTTCAGTTTTATTTGTATAGTGCGTTTTCATAATATTACATTTTCTCGAAGCGCTTTACATTATCCCTGCCCTAAGCCCCCAGAGAGCAAGGCAGAGGCAACAATGGCGAGGAATAACTCCCTAGTAGGGAGAGACCTTGGGAGGGAGCAGATTCAAAGGCGGAGAGCCCGTCCTCCAGGGCCGGCAGAGGGAGTCAAATTAACAAAAAGAACAGAATCCTGATTTATACAGTCCAGCTTTTAAGATTCAAGTGTGGAAGGCAGGCGGGGTGATGGTGCTGCTTTTGATGGCAGGATGAAAGGTGGTATCTGAAGCTTTGGATGAAGCTAAAAACACTGTGTTTATGGAGGTAAAAGTACTGTTTAGGTTTGTGTAATGTGGATATTGGTTGGGATTCATTCGAAACCATTCCTTCCTGGTGCTCTGTTATTCTTGTACATTGATAGTTAAGCCAGGCAATCCTGACTGCAATTACGGGTGTGTTTTTGCTACAAATTTTCCCCAAAGCTGAATGATCAATCGTACTTCAAGTCAGGCTAGTATCATTATCAGAAGTACCTTTAACACAGCTTTAGTGGCTTTAACCGCACGGGCAGGTTTGCCTAAAAGCCAGAAGCTGCGGCATGTTATCAATTAAATAAACATCTTGACGCAATGACTTAAAATGATCACAGTGCCCCTATTGTACACGTGGTACAGTGATGATGATATCGCTCTTGCTGTAGGTCTTATGTTCAGAAGCTGGTTATGTTGCCTACAGTATGTCCATTACACCTTTAAGAATATTCAGATACTCTGCTGGAGCTGTTTTTGGCAGAAATGAAGATGGTTTAATTTTACAATTCTAAAAGTAAATGATGGCAAAGCTGTCTACAGTGAAGTACAAATGATAGTACAGTAATTTACGGCAATTTTTTCCAGATGGAGCTAAAAAGTCAACATGCCGTTACTGTGAAAAATTTGAAAAATTTCATCCACGGTCGTTTCAAAGAAGGCAATCAAGTAGTACTCCTGGAAAATAGGGGCCATAAAAGTTAAAAATGACATGTGCGGTTGTAAATGGTCTATAAAATGGCTCCTCGTGTATGATGGGTAACGACAGATGCATAATTGTTTGGCAGCCTAGCTTTTTGTGGCAGGGGACTGATATTACAGATGCAGGTAGTTTTGGTAGCGCGCTGGTTCCTGTCAACACATCGGTCCTTTCCCTGAACTATTTGGGAAGCATTACTGCAGCCTGATGTTATGTCACAATAATCTAGTCTCAAGGTAATAAATAGACCTAACAACTAGATTTCCTCCATTTTATTAGCTGCTTTTTGGCGATCTTGGCTCTATTCCAAAAATGAACTAAAGACATTTCTGTATACAGTAATGTAGTAGTTAACCATTAAGAAAATGTAAGTTGTGATTTTGAGGCATCATATTGATACATAAATTTCTTACATGTACTGTACTGTGCAAAAGTCTCAGGGAAAGAAAATCAATATAAAATGATCTGTATGTTGGTGTAAAAGTGCGTTAAAACCTCTCCTAAAGTCACCCCAGTATTTATAGCAACCATCCAATATACCCCTGTATTTCTTGACACAATGTTTGGCTAATCAATACCTCATCAAATTATTTTATTATGTAATTATTTGTAATTAA